ATGGGTGTATTGATACTGACTTGAACATTTATTTTGAATTTAATATGTTAGGATTTGAGCATTCATTTAGCATCATTTTACTATAAAGATTGAATATTTGTAATATATAAAATAGCATCACTTTTTAAACCTAATATTTAGAAAGTCTTCAAACAAAGTTGAATCACTGAACTGCTAATAGTGTGTTTGTCTTATAAAGCACTTGCCTATATAGGATTCTTTCCAAAGTATAAATTTATTCTTTTCTGGGAGACCAGATGTTAGAACATAATACGTATTTCTAATAACCATGTTTGCCTCAAGCAAAGATAACCCTGAGATAAAGAGAATTTTATTTAATTACCAAAACATATTTCTCTTAGTGCCAGCTATTGTTGATTGACAACAATGTCATAAGTGATTGGAAATCAGAATATTCACAAGCACCTGAGCTCAGGATTGAGGTGTTCAGGTACCATTTTGTTTTTCTGACTTTTTCCATTTTGATGGGACAGGCATAAAACAGCTTCATCTGTTTTTAATGTTTTAGAGTTTGTGGTGGGAATTACATTTTAATTAAAAATAAACTAGCCTCTCCATACCAGTCACATTGTACTGGCTGTTCTACCTAAACCATCCCCAGTGGGCTCTCTGAAAACCTGCCCTTTGTCATTCTGGGCTGTCCCTGAGCAGTGACACCATTTGAAATATGATCTGTGCACCACTGACTTCTGGTGCCCCTGAAAGAGGTGTCTTCCTTAGTCCCTTCCCAGACAGGAGGAGGATCTGGGGACCTTCCTTTTTAGCAGTTTCCCAGGTAAAGGTTAACTATGTTAACCTTTGCACTCAAGTGTGGAAGCCAGACAGAGGCTTTGGAGTCAGACGGTTGAAAAGCCAGGCTGGCCTGGGAAATTGTTCAGCCTCCAGTATCCATGTTCCGTCAGCAGAAATATGGGATGAGAATCGTGTCTGTCCCAAGGTTGATGCAAGGATCAAATGAGATAATTTTGGAAAGCTTTTGGGAGCACGTGTTCAAGGCTCAAAAATATAGCAGTATTAAAATATAAACTTAAAATATTAGCAGTATTTTAAGTTAATGGAAATATCATATTATGACACCTCATTCCTAAATGCTTACAGTGTATCTTCTAAGAGACATTCTCACCTAAGCCTGCTATCTGTTTTGAGAAACTCTAGTTCTCAACATTTACTTAGTACTTCCTCAAAGTACCCAGATTTTACCCAAGATAGCTTTTATATAGTCACTTTTTAAAAATGAGATCTGTTAAAATAATGCTTCAAGCCTGACAAATCTTTCCATTTAAAAAAAATGGTGTTTTTCAGAGCCTCGATCTGATTATTTTTCATAGACTATCACTATTAATGCTCACCTGGTTAGTTTCCCATGGCTTTAATTTATTCCTTCATCCTTTTATTTCATACAAACTCCAAATGTTTACATTGACAGATGGAGAGTAACATTCACTGGTGTTCTATCCTTTGCACTGCATCATCTGAGGAGTCACACAGTGTCAGCTAGGTGGGAACTGCCAGATTTCCTCAGCTTCAAGGTTACATCTTTGTGTCCTTGAAATCACTCATGACCTAGGAAAGAAAACAAGAGCAAAAAGTGTTTTGTAGGCACTTTGAATTCCCAGTACGCTCATCCTTTGGTTTTTAGTGTATGCTGATGGCCTTTACCGTGGAGCTTATGAAGTGGTGATTTTTCTAATTCCTTCATTTATATTTATTAACTGGCATTCTTTAAATAGACCTTTCCCTTGTCTTTTTCCCTTTCTCCTGCTACCTGTAGTATCACTGTGGGCTCAAAGGCTTTTTTCTAATTCATTTTGTGAAAATTAATGGTAATGATTAGCCTTTCTGATGGCGATGATTTTTCTTTCCAAGTTTAGCTGAGGGAAGGCCCATAAGCCATTACCTATCCTTCCAACATGACCCTGTTAATGTTCTGTGGCACTTGTCACCTCTCATGGATCCTCTTTACCTCTCTTAGCCCTATATTAGGAATCTCTTGTGTCTCCAAAATGCTCTAATTTTCTGTATGTTTGGCTCAAGCTCGATTTTTGAATGTATAGTGTTGCACCTTATGGGCCCTGGTGGTTGACAGACATAGGAAATGCATGCACCCATATGAGTGTTTTTGAGTATATGTGTATATATATATATATATATATATATATATATATGCACACAATGTATAGCATTAGTCAATGAAAGTAAAAAATACCTTGAGACTCGTGTTCATAGAGGTATTTCCAGGTATAGAGTTTTTGTCTGCTTTTCAAAACTAGATATTTATATTTTATCTCGTAATTTATAGGGACTTGACTTTCATTGTATTAGTATATTCACTACTTGCTTTTTCCAAAGATATGTATTTATTTATTAGTGAAAAGTTTCATCCATTTGGTCTTTTCTAGAAACAAGCCATACCGTACGTGTAAGTGTGTTTTTACTACCCTTTCTGCCACATTTTATGTACACTGTTTTATGCTTCTCACCTAAGAAGTGATCTCTAGAGAACTTTTTTGTAGTTGGAGAGACAGTGGCTCCTTGTGCAACTTGGAGCCCACTTGCAGCTGGCATAAAGCAGTCTCCTGTTGGTGGACCTCTGGGATGCTGTGGTGAATTACTTTGTATTCCTTCTTCACCTTTAGGGAGGTACCTAGAGCAGATTCCTAGAAGTGAGACAGTTGGATGGAGAACAGATAGATGGTACCACTGTTAGCAGCAGGCAGATTCCTCTGTTTAGCACAGGCAGCACTTCACCTGCCCTCTAGCAGTGCAGGTTGGTCTCCTCAACAAGAGTTGCTTGTCAGTTTTTGTTCCTTTTTTTTTTTTTTTTTTTCCCAGTTTGACAGAATTGGGATCTCCTACCAGCTTTTATTTTTTCTTTTATGAATAAAATTGAATAGTTTTGTTGATGTTTTCAAGGGCTATTTATAGATTTTTCTGAACTGTTTGGAGGTTTTGTGTCACAAGAAATCATTAGCAGTCAGTTTTTTCTACCCTAAAATAGTCACTGTACCTGGTTCTTGTGGTGCCAAGTCCTTATGGTCCTTTTCTTAGCTGGGCAAGCTATTTTCCTAACTGTGTTTACGTACTTACATTTGAATATTGTACCCTAGATGTTCAAAATAGGGATTTAAGGTTGCTTTGTTGGTATAAAGAGCAAAATGGTGCCAGTTTTATTGTTAGATAAATTTTATTCATTTTTTAAAAATCTACCACTAAAGGTATAGTACTTCAAACCTAAAAGTTAAACTGTTACTTTAATTAGAATAGTGAAATACAGTGCATTGTAGAAAGAGAAAGAGAAAGCAGGACACTGGTGGTGTATTTGGGAAGTAACATTGGTGATGATGTCATGAGATACTAATTTGGGTTACTTTTTCCATGTAACTATCAGTGATTAATCTGACAACTATCATAGTAAATTTGTGTTTTAAAATTAGAGTGAAAATAGCTGTATAGGAGTCAGTGTGAAGTACAGAGGAGTAGAGGGTAGCCGTTAACTTACAGAAATAATCATGGTAGAATTTCAGGGTTATACTCACTGTAATTGTGAAGCAGCAAACCATCTTGTAAGGTACACTAATGAATGATTGGTGGAATAGGAGGTGTGGGAGTATTTAACGATTGTATAGATATTTACACAAAAATGCAGAAGTCATAAAACACTATTTGTTATCATCATAGCATCTTTAGGTTAAGTAGTAGTTCTGGTGTGTGAGAAAAAACTTAAATATTCATTGTTTTATTCAGCCATATTTAATTTAAGACAACCTAACAGTGGAAATTTTCCCTTGCATATTTAGAATAAATTCATCCCAACTTTGATAGTTGAATCCATGATTATATAATGCTGTTTCTGAAGAAATACATCTTTCACTTTCTTCTGGGGGTTTTGTTTCTTGCCATCTTTATTTGGATTAGCTTCTAGGAGACCATAAAAAGGAAGGGTACAGGTTACGTTAAACGTGTTCCTTCTCAGGATGGGCTGCAGTGGGTATGCTGGCGTGCTCTATGCACCTGAGATTTGTTTTGTCTGAGAACTGTAACAAACTTCATAAGAACAAATATACTAGATGAACATTGATCTTGGTTTTTCTCTTTCTCTTATTATTGACTCATACGCATTTCTCTTTTGAAACAAAAGTTTTACAGATACCAGAACAAGACTCTTACCTTATAAATAGCTTTTTTATTAATTTTCCTAGCTCATAATACATGTGAAGCAATAAAAAGGTGGGATAGGAAGGATGAGGGTAAAAAACTCACATAGTCAGCAGTGATAAGTGGTAAGAAACACAGGAACCAGAAGAGTTTTTGAAACAAGTCCAATGGTAGATGTCTTGTACAGGGAAGAACTCACGCTTAAGTAGCTCACCATTGGCCATCTGTCTCGGGACTCTTCACCCTAGCGGTATGGAGGGCTCAGTGCTACGTACATCAGCAGTCACTCTGTGGATTAGACAGCTGAGGCTTCGTATTTGAAAACATTCAGCAGAGTATCAGGCACTGGAAAGCAGTCATTAGCATGAGCACTGTAGTTAAGCCTGTTTCCTTGCAGTGCGCTTAAAACCTCAAGTTCATACTCGTTTATCTTCAGTCTGCAAATCCAAAAAGCTCTGGAAACTGCAAGTTTGGTACAACCTCTTATCCAGAAAAGCCAATTGATGAGATTACATCGTTTTTTCCTCCTCTGTGTGTTACTTGGTATCTGGGTGTTTCAACGTAAAGATGAGTAATATTTGGTGCGGCTCGGTATCTGCTGGAGGAATTCTAAGTGATTCATATTACATTTCTAAAATCTGAAAATTCTGAATTGTAACATCTGTCTGACTCTTAAGAGTTTTGGACAGGTTCTGGATCTTTGTTATTTAACATGTATTTGAACGAAGAATTCCTGCATGTTATTTAGTGAGAAGATACTCTTCAATCCTGTTAAGAATGCTGATCAAGCTAATAACAAATTCTTGTCTCTCTCCCCTTGGCAGCAAAATGAAAAGGAGAACTTGCTGAAGGAAAGAGACCACATTCTGTCCACACTGGGGGAGACAAAGCAGAACCTGACTGGCCTGTGCCAGCAGGTCTGCGAAGAGGCAGCCCTGAGTCAGGAGCAAATACAGATCCTGGCCAAGTACTCAGCCGCCGACTGCCCACTTTCCTTTCTAATCTCTGAAAAAGGCAAAGGCGCTTCTGACGGCGAGCTCCTGTTGCAGTCCATCTTCAGTTTATCTGATTGGCCCCCGGCTGCGCAGCCCCCAGGCGGGAGAGGAGGCGGCGGAGCGCCCGGCTGCGCTGTGGGGTCCGAGGCTTCCACGGCCTCGGCTTCCACGGTCTTGGAGGCCACGGGACCCGCGGAGCAGGGTCGCCAGGGTGGAGGGATCACCGATTTCTGTCAGCAGATGACTGATAAATGTACTACTGATGAATGAAGCTGCCCTCCCCTCCTTCAGCCCCTTGGGTTTCCTACTGAAGTCCTGGCATTGTCTTGAAACCCAGTACAGTCATCTCTGCTCTAACAGCTTGTTCTCCTTCATAGCTTTCCATTCAGGGCATCTCGCCCAAGTCAGTCCCCGATATCCACAAAAGACACAAATGATTTGCTCCTGGGTTGACCTTTTGAGGTGTACTGGATTAAAAAGCAGTGCTAATAGAGACCTGGTCTATTCAGAAATAGGGAGTCTGCAGTGGCGGGGAGAGCTGCAGCATGAAAAGAAACCATCTTACCGGAACCCTGGCAGATGTGGGTTGGGCTTCACTGTGGTTCCTCAGCTGTGCTCAACAGGCAGGTGGCTGCCTAAGGTGGGGGCTTTTGTCCTCAGTATTGACTAGGTTTCTGGCTGCACAGACAGCACATAAATGTCAGTAACGCACCACCACCCATCCCTTACCTCCCACCCCCGTCAGTCTCTGTCATTTTGGGCCCAGCATGATCTTTCTGTTTGCTTGCATTCTTGGAAGAAGTCACAGGACTCGGATGCAGTGCTGAGTCAGTGAGCGGGCAGCGTTGTCTTTCGTGGTCAGCATACAGGGCTCTTCACTTTGGCACCGTTGCGTCCCCAGAGCCAGAAAAGCAGACATTAATGGCACAGACAATTGCCCGCATTTCCAGGAGCACTGTTCATTTTTTGTCCTGTCTTTAAAGCCGTATGGTATACTTGTGAATACCATTATTACAGAAAAAATGTCTACTAAAACTGTAGGTTTGTAAGAAAAGGTGAAACTTGATTTTGTGCCATTTGGGAACCAGATTTTAATCCTTTCTTTTACATATTTAGTGTGGTATAAAGGCACAAAAGTCATTTTAACGTGGGCATTTAAAAATCATTCTTTGTATTTATTTGATCCTGTTATAAAATGTGTAGTTTAAAGACCTGCCCCAATATTTCATAACGATTCTTAGCCAATTTGGAATTATAGACCTGAGATTAAGATAAAAGCTTTAGACTTACGCAGTTAAACAAAACAGAAATTACATACAGGTTCAGCATCCCTAATCAGGAAGTCTGAAATTCTTCAAAATCTGAAACTTTTGGACTCTGACGTGATGTTCCAAGTAGAAAATTCCACACCTGACCTCAGGTGACAAGTTAAAACACAAACTGTTCTTTAAAATTACTTTAGGCTGTGTGTGTAAGGTACATAGAAACCTAGATGAATTTCATGTTTAAGTTTGGGATCAGTCGTCATGATATCTCATTATACGTATAGAAAATATTCAAATCTGAAAAATCTGAAATCTGGTCTCAAGCCTTTCAGATAAAGGACACTTAACCTGCATTTGTAGAAACAAGTAGAACCCAGTTTTTGAGGGGACAGAGGGGTAGTTTATAGTATTGAGAATGGAAAGTACTTAGTTTCATTAAGTCAGACACCTGGAGAGGTCCTCCTCTAGAGTGCTGCTGAGTAACTGCCGGGGGTTTAGCTCAGCGGCAAAGGTGGCTGCCTGGCAAGCGCAAGGTCTTGAGTTTGGTCCCGGTACCAAAAAAAAAGCTGAGTGACTGAAGGGGGGAAAGACCCGCCCAGTGTGTACAAATGAGTCCGAAAGCAAATAGACTTCTGCCTTGAGAGTACGTGGGGACCAGTTTCAATGTTCCAGAGTGATTCATCAGACATTAGGGTGGGAGTGGATATTGCTAATACATTTTCAGTGTTTATATGTTATTTCTGTTATTGACTTAATCAGGAGAGAGAATCGGTATTATTTTCTAGAGGCTTCCATAAATACTTTTGATTTGTCAGGGAGAATGATCATTTTGTGAGAATGCATCCCATACTACAAAATAATTATGTGTACCTGTATATCTCCCCATGTAGCTGTTTCCTTGATACTTGTCATTTTAAATTTCTGCTTCACAATATAAAATAATATAAAGACTTCTGGTTTACAAAGTGTAAAATCTTATTCAAGCCAATGAAATCCTTGATTTCCTACCTCAGTGTACACTCAGCTGTCAGGCATCAGTGTGTGTATGTGCAAATGTCAAGTAATTGTCTGTGCTTTAATTGAAACTGTAAATATTTGCTTTTAAAATTTATTATTTTATGCTAAAACCTAGTTGTTTCCACAGTTCAAATATGATTTTTAAAGCACCTATTTTATATTTCCCTCTACGTATAAACAGTTTAGCATTAAGGGTTATTTTAGTGGTATGTGATAATTGGCCACATGTAATATTTCTTAAATTTTAGCATTACTTTTAATAGCCAGCATGTAATATAAGTATAACTACACTACCTCATACCTACATGATTTTCAAGTTGTAATATAGATAGACAAAAAAGATTTTATCTTTGTCTTTTGGCCATAAGGTGGGGAAGTTTTCTATATATTGCATAGCATTACACATTTATGCCTATTTTAACATTAACTTCTAAAGAAGTTTTTTCTAAGACAGTTTGTTTCAAGGCAATATTTTTTTTGAGACTGCTGAAAACAAATAATAGGATTATGTATATACAGTGTATGCCTTTTCCTTCATGCAGAATTTGGAATTGTTTTCAGTTTGTGTTGCATATGGACATGATTATTGTTCCTGTTTATGAACTGGCCTTCTAAGTGCTTGATCAAGATTTTTAAAAAGGTGTTACGTAAAATAACATTACCATAAAATTTGCTCCTTATTTGACTCCTACAGTGATAGTAATTTGTTAAATTGTTCTATTTAAAACAAATGTGAATATAATATTGGTTCTCCATCTGTAAGTTTTTGATTTACTATAGCTCAATGCTTAACCTGATTTAAATGAGTAATTAAATGTAGTTGATACAGTAGGTGATACAGATTACTTGTGGACACTCAGCCACATTCACAACTTGGAAAATAAAGACAAGGCAAATGTTACCATGAATTCTCAGGTGAACTTTTTTCAGTTATAAAACATCTATTTTGAATTTGTAAATATTTTAAATGTTTTATTAAGGCATGTAATAAACTATTCTTTGAGACCTGTTGGGTAGAATGAAAATTTAAAGCCATAATGGTAAAAGATGGCATACTGATTGTAAAAATAAATAATAGCATTATTGATTTTTTTTGTATCTTTCATAATATAATTTTCTAACAATACAATAAAACCACTAAACTTGTATATCCATGTCTTATTAAAACCGTTTCATTAAAAGTATACTTTTCTGGTATTTAATTTACATGTTCTTAGTGTGCTTATCTAAATGTAGCAAAATACAAATACTAGGTGTCGATAAATTAATAAAATTCTCTAAAATTGTTTCTAACTGCATAGAGTTGTGCATCCCATTTCCATTTACTCACCTCAAATGAATTTGTTAATGTTGGTATTTTCATCAGAAATCATGACAGAAGAAAATACTTGATTAGAAAATATATGCCTGAAGAAAAATAAGGTTGGTACTCAGGTGTTGTAAGAAGTGCAGGTTTTTAATCTGGCTAATGTAGTTTATTTTGCTATGTGGTTTAGGAGCCTTCAAAGGTATCTCTGTCAGTCATTGGCTTTTTGGTTTTGTTTGGAGACAGGTTCTTCCTATGTAGTTCAGGCTGGCCTTATGCTCACTATATATATATAGCCCAGGCTGGCCTCAAACTTGTGACACTGCTCCTGCCTCAGCCTCCTGAGTGCTGGGATTATAGGAGTGCATCACCATGCCCAGAAGTCATTGAGTGTTAAAGCCTTACCTGCTTAGCTGTTACATTATATTCAGTTTCTAATACGGCCCATGTAACCAAGCTTTGAGCAGCTGCTCCTGTTACTAAGCCTGCAAGCGTGGCCTTCTGGCCTGCTAATGGAGATTCCCAGTTGGGGAGATTTTGCAAAACGAGGACATGAACAGAAACCAGGGATGTTGTCCATCCTGTAACACAGGCAGCATTCATACCAGTCATCACTCGAGATGAGCCTCACTGATGTTGAACTCAGACTGGCCTAGGTGTGGAGTCAGGATGACATGTAAGTGTTGAGCTGGGTGAGGTGCTGTGGTTGCTGCAAGAGCTTAAGGGAGAAGCAATATGAAATACAGAGTTTCAATAAGACTTCCGTCCAGGTAGAGAAGGATGACTCCAGGGGGAGGAGACCTCAGTGCAGACACTGGGTTTTTTTTTTTTGGTCTTTTTTTGTTTTTACTGGTACCAGGGATCGAACTCACGACTGCCTGCTTGCAAGGCAGGCGCTTGTGCCGCTGAGCTAAACCCCCAACCCCAGTGCAGACATTGGGTCATGTCCCAGGGAGGGAGGAGGAGCCCGGCCTCGGAGGCCCTTGGAGGGCAGGGGTCTGTTTGTCCTTTACCAGTGTGGCCCAGCAACGTGCATATTTGCCCTGAACCGCCAACTTGGTGAAGGTCTGAGTGAAGGTCTGACTGTCTGCTCTTTAAAGAAGTGTTAAGCGCTCTGTGTTGAGGGATTTTTATTTATTTATGTATGTATTTATTTTGCAATGCTGGGATGAATCCAGAGGCTCCCCACCAAGCTTCCCACTCAGCTTCATCCCCAACCCTTTTAAAAATTTTAAATTTTGAGAGCCTTGTTCAGTCACCAAACGTTTTCCCAGCCCAACTCAAACTTGAAATTCTACCTGAGCAACCCTAGCAGACTTCGGTTGAGGGTGGCTAATAAATAGTTCCCTCTCTGTGCATGATTTTCAGCCTTTCTAGAAAACAGTGGTCCATCCACATTGCTAATGGAGAGCAGGTTGGAATTTACAGATTTCTACCTGTTTACCCTAGTGGATTTGCTGGGAGCGAATTGTGGAATTAGATTTACTTGTCTGCTGTGGGAAGCCGCCTATGAATGGCGCCCATTTCCTGCTTCCGGGTTCTTCCCGGCCTGAACAAGCCCGCCAAATTGTCATATCTGCCCAGTTACCCGTGACGCTAGCCTATCAGCTTGTTAGGCGCGCTTCTCTGTGATTGGATACTGCTTCCCCTTATAAGAGGTTGTTCCTGCCCCCAATGGCGGAAGAGGAATCAACACCGAGGGTGGCGGACCTTGTCAGGTCCGGTTCGCTGTACGTAATAAAGTTTGAGAGCTGATCCTGCTTGAGTTTGGTCTCCTGTCTCCCGCGGCTCCGGTCATCTGGTGGCCCCCGTACGGGGAATAAAAGACTCAGCGACGTGCCTCTTCGGCCGGGAGGTGCGATTGCTGTCGCCTGCGGTACGACGGAGGACCTGGCCCAATAACAACGGAAGGCCTCGAGCGCCTCTTCTCTTCACCCTGATCAGCTACGTGAGATACAGCGGTTCCCGGGACAGGTGAGTACTGGGTCACCTGGGTTGGGTGGACGCACCTAACAGATTTTGAGCGCCACACGAGTGGACGCCGGTTTTTTTTTTTCTTTTTCCCTTTGCCTCTGTTTTGCTTTCGCTTCGCTAATACAGCCCGACAGGCTTTTGATAGAGCTCGATCGGAATGCTCAGAGGAGCCCGGAGCCACTGCCGATTGTGGGTCTCCGGAGGACCCTCAGGGCTCTAATTCTGATTCTGATTCGGAAGGTTCAGAAGAGGAGGTTGTCTTCGCTAAACAGGACCCTCCTGCACAGCTTAAAGAGGAATTCAGGGCTCCGGAAGATAAAAAGGGGAACCAAACACCACCCTGCTCGAGCTACTCCGCCTTACGGGAGGAGCTTAAGCCCTTCCGCCCTTTGGCAAGTTCACGGTCCTTCCACCAGAGGGTATGGTCGCGGCTTCCCTTTGAGTGTTCCGGTCTCCATGCATTCCCGGTACAAGTAGGAGGCAGGGGAGGAGGAGGATATTATGAGCCCTTAGAAATTAAACAACTTAAAGCTATCAAGGACGCAGTTTCAGCTTATGGGCCCAATGCGCCATTTACCATGGCGCTTTTAGAGGCATTGGCAGGCCTGTGTGATCTCTTCACCTCAACAATCTATTGGTGTTAACCCGAGAGGACTGTGCCCCAATCATATTTGGCAAACACACATCCCAGAATTCGGAAAAATATGTACATGTTTCGGTTGACACCGCTTCTCAGGTTATGTTTGCCTCGGCAGAACCCGGAGAAAGGGCCACCCACTCTATTAATCATTGCCTGGCAGCCTGGGCTGCTTGGGGAAAGCCCAATATACTAAAAACAGACAATGGTCCTGCCTATACCAGCAAAATTTTTATGACATTTTGTCAACAAATGGAGGTCACTCTTAAACATGGCATTCCATATAACCCTCAAGGACAAGGCATCATTGAACGGGTACATCGGACACTCAAGGGTGTCTTACAAAAGCAAAAAGAGGGGATAGGCCATGGCCTAATGCCCAAAGGAAGAATATCATTGGCACTCTTTACCATAATCATTCCCCTGCCATGGAGCACAATAACCCGTCCCCGGCCGACAAAGGGCTGGTGAGATGGAAAGATGTCCTTACAGGACAATGGATGGGCCCGGATCCAGTGGTTAGCTGGACCCGAGGTGCGGTTTGTGTTTTCCCACAGGAACCAGGCTGCGAACCGCTGTGGGTCCCGGAAAGATTGACGCGAGCAGGAAACTCCCCACCAGTTCCTGATAAAGCACAGGAGGATAAGCCCGTGGACACAAGTCAACTCGACCCTTCTGGGACCGACGCTCAGCGCCCGAGACCATCTACAAACTAAAATGTCTGGTTTGGAGTTTTTTCTATTCTGTGGGTTCCTATTAATCACCCCTGTGATATGCTCAGATTCCACAGAACCACCACAATATCTTTGGGGTCCTTGGCACCACCCGCCTACATTGGCACCTTTTTCGGTGGCCTCGCCCGCCTCACCCAGGGTTTACACCATCAATCAAACAGTCCTTGATTATGACCCACCCGCTTAACTCCAGTCGACCCTCCATTTCTCTTCCTTCTGTCCCACGATTACCTCTTTTTGGATCCTAATTGCCATGGCTATCCTAGTAGGGCTTGTGGTTATTAAATGCTTGTTAGATCGCCTCATACAAACTCAGCAGCAGGTTAAGATCACAGCTATGGCAGCCATGCAAATGGCAGCAGGTGGCCCATCAGGCCAGCAGGCCACCGCATATCTCCTTCACATTGCAGAACATCAGCTATAAGAGCTGAGTGGGCAAGCCAATGACGGGTAAGACGGGAAAAGCCCTCCCGGTCAACCTAAGACAGGCTCCACTCAGATATACATGGCCTATAAGGCCAGGGGTCCCTCCCAGAGTCAAATTATTGGCATTGAGATGCGAGACCAAGGGTACTGCAGTGCCATCCACCCCAAAGGTTGGGGGGAAGACAGGAATGAATGTCTATATGCATCCAGGTTCGGTTCACAAAAGCCTGGCCCTGCGAAAAAATGAACCACTCACCTTGAGCATGGTCCTGGCGCAAGGATATGCACAAAACAGGGTGATGCACAGCAGGGTATAGATCTCTACATTCTCTCATGCCTCGGCCTACAAGGTAGGCCCACTCCTAGGTGTCTAACAGCAACAAGGTCATAGACACCTTGGAGGGACCCACAGACCATCCTATTTTAATAAATAAAAAAGGGGGAGATGTGGGAAGCCGCCTATGAATGGCGCCCATTTCCTGCTTCTGGGTTCTTCCCGGCCTGAACAAGCCCGCCAAATTGTCATATCTGCCCAGTTACCCGTGACGCTAGCCTATCAGCTTGTTAGGCGCGCTTCTCTGTGATTGGATACTGCTTCCCCTTATAAGAGGTTGTTCCTGCCTCCAACGGCGGAAGAGGAATCAACACCGAGGGTGGGGGACCTTGTCAGGTCCGGTTCGCTGTACGTAATAAAGTTTGAGAGCTGATCCTGCTCGAGTTTGGTCTCCTGTCTCCCGCGGCTCCGGTCAGTCTGCCTAGCTACTCCCAGCCCAAGAGGGGAAGGCTGGGGAGGAGCAGGACAACTGTGCTTTTTATAGGAGGGTAAATCCAACAGTAGGGCGGATAGGACCATTTGGGCTTACTCGTGATACGGAGGGCAGGCGGGATCCTGAAGATCTGAACTAGAAAGATATGTTCCTCTTGCCTCTTGCAGTGTTAGGTTTTCTTGAAGCATTAACCTTGACCATTGCCCTTTGCCCACCCAGGGCTGCTGGTGATTCACCTACTAGAGGAGAGCCACATTTCAGGAGACAGACCTGTCGCCACTTTTGTGAGGCTGCTCCCCAGTATCAGCCTTGGAAGTACCAGTGGAAGGTGGTTAATCGG